TGTGCCACAGGGTATGCGAGATGGTGGTACTTTGAGTGTTCTCTCGATGGACACATGGACGGAGGCATTGACGGACAGAAAAACAGACAGACTAGCAAATGGACGGACAGGTAGAGAGATGCGTGAAATGCTATGTGCAACAGGGTATGTCAGACGGCGGTACGTTGAGTGTTCTCTAGATTGATGCATGAACGCACGCATAGACGGACAGACAGACAGACTAGCAGATGAATGGACAGGTAGACGGACGCGTAAAGTGGCTATGTGCCACAGGGTATTCGAGATGGTGGCACTTTGAGTGTTCTATAGGGTGACGCACGCACTGACGCATGGACAAGGAGACAGACACAAAGACAGACTAGCAGACGGACGGACGGATAGATCGACGCGTTAAGCGTGTAAGCGGTGGAGGCTATACGAGATGCAATGTGGCGGTACTCAGAGTGTTCACTAGATGGACTCACGGACGGACGCATGGACGGACGGACAGACAGACTAGCAGATGGACGGACGGATAGACGGACGCGTAAAGGGGGTATGTGCCACAGGGTATACGAGATACGAGATGGTGGTATTTGGAGTGTTCACTAGATGGACGCACGGACGGACGCAAGGACGCACCGACTGACAGACTAGCAAACGGTAGGACAGGTGGACGGACGCGTAAAGCGGCTATGTGCCAAAGGGTATGTGAGATGGCGGTATTTTTGAATGTTCTCTAGATGGATGCACGGACAGATGCATGGACGGACAGACAGACACACTAACAGAGGGACGAACAAGTAGATGGACGCGTAAAGTGGCTATGTGCCACATGGAATGCGAGATGGCGGTACATTGAGTGTTCTCTATATGGACGCACGGAAGGACGCTGGATGGACAGACAGACAGACTACCAGACGGATGGACAAGTAGACGGATGCGTAAAGCGGCTACGTGCCAAAGGGTCTGCGAGATGACGGTGCTGTGAGTGCTCTCTGGATGAACACACGGACGGACGCATGGACGAACAGAAAGACAGACAGACTAGCAGCGGGACGGACAGGTAGACGGATGCATAAAGTGCTATGTGCCACAGGGTCTGCGAAATGGCGGTACTTTGAGTCTTCTCTAGATTGATGCACGGACGGACGCATGGACGGATGGGCAGACACAATAGCAGATGTACGGATAGGTAGACGGACGCGTAAGGTGGCTATGTGCCACAGGGTATGGAAGATTGCGGTACATTGAGTGTTCACTGAATGGACGCACGGGCGGACGCATGGACGGACAGACAGACAGACTAGCAAACGGACGGACAGGTAGATGGACGCATAAAGCGGCTATATGCCACAGGGTATGCGAGATGGTGGTACTTTGAGTGTTCTCTAGATGGACACACAGACGGATGCATGGACGGACAGAAAGAAAGAGAGAGTAGCAGACGGACGGACAAGTAGACAGATGCGTGAAGTGCTATGTACAACAGGGTATGCGAGATGGCGGTACGTTGCGTGTTCTCTAGATTGAAGCATTGGCGGATGCATAGACGGACAGACAGACAGTATAGCAGGCGTATGGACAGGTAGACGAACGCGTAAAGCGGCTATGTGCCACAGGTTATGCGAGGGGGTGGTACTTGGAGTGTCCACTAGATGGACACATGGACAGACCCATGATTGGACAGACAGACAGGCTAGCAGACGGACGGATAGGTAGACGGACGCGTAAAGCGGCTCAGTGCCACAGGGTATGCGAGATGGCGGTACCTCGAGTGTTCTATAGATGGACGCTCGGATGGACGCACGGACGAAAAGACAGACAGACTAGCAGACGGACGAACAGGTAGACGGACGAGTAAAGCGGCTATGTGCCACAGGGTATTTATTTATTTATTTATTTGCAAAATACTGCTAGCCTAAAAAAGGCTGTAAGCAGGAGTGGGAATACAAAGATGATATATATACATACTGCGCAAAAGAAAGCGATAACGGCATGCTTCACACTAGGTACTCTTCTACAGCAATAATATCATCAGTTATATCGATCATCACAGCAGTAGGTAACTACACTGTAACCATTATATTCTAAATGCCAGTAATACATACATGGAATAAAAGAATATATGTATTTCCTTACATATAAGGTGACGATACATAAAAGTAGAAACACACAAGTGAACATATACAAAGAAGATTAGTAAACTCGTACATTTACACAGTCGTCAAATGAGCCTGAAGTGTTGAAATGAAATCTGCTGTGGTCATGCGTTCCACGACATCGGCTGGGAGCTCGTTCCATTCCCTTACTGTTCGTGGGAAAAATGTGTTGTGAAATACATCTGTTCGGCAGTTATAGTCTCGTAGTTTTTTTGAGTGATGAGAACGTGTGATTCGCTTACTTACAGGTTGAATGAAATGATCCCTTTCTATTCCTATTTTATTATGATAAATTTTGTATAGGTACCCTAGTCTTTCCGTGTGGCGTCGTAATTCCAGGGGTTCCAATTCAGCCCTTTCCACTAACGTACTTGCCGATGTCCGCCAGCTGTACATATTAAAAATAAAGCGTACCGATTTCTTTGAACACTTTCCAAGTGGACAATGTTCCTTTTCGTGTGAGGGTCCCATACTATCGATGCGTATTCGATTATTGGTCGGATAAACGTTTTATAGGCTAATAGCTTCATATCTTGAGGAGCTTGGCGCAAAGTTCGTCTTAAGTATCCTAGTTTAGTTACTGCTTTTTTCTTTATGTAAGAAATGTGCTCATTCCACCGAAGATCCGATGTGAGTATGACACCTAGGTATTTAAAAGATTTTACTTTGGATAATACGCTTCCATTTAAGCTGTAGCTAAGCTGTAGCGGTGAATTCTTTCTAGTTATCCTCATGAGAACGGTCTTTTGGGGGTTAATTTTCATTTGCCAGGTTTCACACCATTTCTCAACGTGCTGAAGAGCTTCTTTTAGTTGGACGTGGTCATGAAGGTTGTCAATTCTGTGATAAATTACGCAGTCATCTGCGAATAGTTTAATTTTGACCGGTACCTGGTCAACTATGTCATTTATAAATATTAGGAAGAATAACGGCCCCAACACCGACCCTTGTGGAACGCCCGACCCGACAGCTGCAGGAGTTGAGCAAACATTATCAATTGAAACACATTGCTGTCTGTGGCGCAAGTAGGCCTCTATCCACGATACTAATGCAGTATTCTTTAGAATTGCCCTAACCTTTATTATTAGTTTTGAATGCGAAACACAATCAAAAGCTTTTTGGAAATCCAAAAAAAATCACGTCTATTTGAGATTGAGCATCAATAGCAGCAGCAAAATCATGCACGGTTTCAAGGAGTGCCGTCACTGTAGATTTACCTTTGCGAAAACCATGTTGCCTATTATCAATAAGGTTGTTCTTTTCCAGAAACGACGATATGTGCGCGAAAATTATGTGCTCTAGCGTCTTTGAGCAGGAGCACAGTAGGGAGATTGGCCTGTAACAAGTTACTTGGCGCGAGTCCCCACCTTTCGGTATCGGAATAATTTTACTGTACTTCCATTCTGTTGGTAGTTGAGCTTCTGAGAGCGATTTTTTAAATATTAAACATAAGTACTTGGAGCACCATTCAGCGTACCTGACTAAAAAGGTGTTGGGTATGCCGTCAATTCCAGGAGTTTTCTTTGTGTCCAATTTTAACAACAGTGACAGCACACCTTCTTCGGACACAAAAATATCACTTATAGACGGAGCATCTTTTGCAGGAATGAAAGATGGGTCACCAGCATCATCCTGTACAAATACGGAGCAGAAAAAGCGGTTAAAAGTCGATGCTAATTGTAGTTTATCCGACACGTTGCCACCGTTCACAGTAAGGTTTAACTGCGATTTTTGCTTTGAGGAAAAATGTCTCCAGAATTTAGCCGGAGCCGTGTAGAGAAAGTTTTTTAATGTCACGTTGAAGTAGTAATTTTTAGCTTCAGCGATACTGTCCCTAAGAGCCAAGCGTATGGCACACAGTTTCGATACATTCGCAGGAGAGGGGCGTTGCCGGCACGTTTTTCTTATCCTTTTCGCTTTGCGCTCAAGGCGAACAACTTCCTTAGTAAGCCATGGTTTTGAAAATTTTTTTATGCTTTTACTTTTCATAGGGACAAAATCTTTGATACACTTAAGAACGAGATTTTTGAAAAATAGCCATAACTCATCGATACTGCAATCACTTGATTGATAGAAAGAAAGAAAATTTGAGAACGATTCATCCATTGCATCCAAAATGCCCACGTCATTTGCACGTGCGAAAACCGGGACAACACGCACTTCGTTTTTCTTTTTAGGCACATGGCCAAGATTCAGTGTCAATGTAATCAACTTATGATCCGATATTTCATCGAGAACGGCAACTACGGGTTCTTTACTAAGCAGGTTTCTGCTAACGAGAAAAAGGTCTAGGATAGAATTCGCTGAGTTGCTGATGCGAGTTGGCTCTTTGACTAACTGAGAAAGGTTATGAAAGAAAACTAGATCAGTTAACTGTTCTGCAACAGTGCTAAGAGGCTCCGGAATTTCGTTACTCCAATCAATGGATGGCAGATTGAAGTCACCAGCTATCAAAAAATTATTGATGTGGACGACGTTGTCACATAAGAATTGGTTTAGTTTCTCGAAGAATGTACTGTTGTCATTTGGGGGGCGGTAAAATCCACCTACTACTAAGCTGCATTCATTCAGGCATATTTTAGCGATGACACATTCAACACCAGCTATAGGGGAAAGTCTGTTTATATGTAACGTATCTTGGTAAAGAATGGCAACTCCTCCCCCTCGGGAGCTTCTATCATTACGAAGGATAGCGTAGCCTGGCGGGACGATTTCAGAATCGGATATGTCATTGTGCAACCAAGTTTCCGTAATTACGACTACCTGAGGTTTATACGAGAGAATAACACTTTCCAGCACGTCAACTTTATTCACAATACTGCGAGCATTAAACTGGAGGCAAAGGGATGGTTTATTAACGACCGCTGGTCACTGTTCGTTTCTAGTATTCTTGCGCTGAACAAGAACTCTCATTTTTTGGCTGTCATCCCATTCAAAAAGATTGTTTTCAATTTTAATTTTATCGTGAATCAGCTTAACTTTTTTACCAGACTTTCTGATGTCAGTTGTGCTCTCCCACAGGTTTCTTCTTTTCTGTCTAGTGCACGCGGAAAAATCCTCTGCTATAGAAGTTCGCTGTCCTTTTAACTTATAGCCGTTTTTCAAAACATTAATCTTTTCGCGGTAGTCAAATAACTTTAGGATTACAGGCCGAGGTTTGCGACTATGACTACGGCCTATCCTATGAATCCTTTCGATAGACGTTATTTTTGTGCCTAGTACCTCTTCGAAAATACCTTTCACAACACTTTGCTCAAGGTCTGCTTGTGTTTCATTCTGTTTTTCTGGAACGCCGAACACCAAAAGGTTGTTTCTTCTCCCGCGGTCCTCAAGGTCGACTAACTTTTTTTCCATGTCCTTCACTTTCTTGTCCAGAAGGTGGGTGACTGAGGAGACCTCTTTAATAAGAGAGGCTGTCGAGTCGACAACCTTAAATTTCTGTTCAATTTCATCGAGCCTTTTCTGTATCACCTTTTGCCCCGCTAGAATCTCAGTGAGCAATTCTTCGGTGGTAGGACCTGGGTTTGATTCTATATCACCGCAAAGAATCAACAAAGCACATGCGAAATCCTGCACAAACATAGCTATAGCACTGAAACACTCTGGGCATGTCAGCTGGATAAAACAGCGGTTACTGGATTTACAGGAAGACGCAGTGTTACAGACCTGCATGTAGAACAGGAACGGATTAGTTGCCATGTTGACCGTTGGCCAGCTGACACACCCACTGAAGGAAGCCGTGCGACGAGGTACATTTAAAGCCGGGTCCGGTGACGTAGACCGCGCTGCACGTGACTTGATCCCATCTTCAGTGTAGTTTAGCGAAAACCATACGCTGTCGCAGCATGCCGCCGTGGTTTCATCGGTAATGTTCGTTGTTGCTTGAGATGCGCTGGCTTTGGTCACTCCAGCAAAAAGTAGAATCTGCATGTAGAACAGGAACGGATTAGTTGCCATGTTGACCGTTGGCCAGCTGACACACCCACTGAAGGAAGCCGTGCGACGAGGTACATTTAAAGCCGGGTCCGGTGACGTAGACCGCGCTGCACGTGACTTGATCCCATCTTCAGTGTAGTTTAGCGAAAACCATACGCTGTCGCAGCATGCCGCCGTGGTTTCATCGGTAATGTTCGTTGTTGCTTGAGATGCGCTGGCTTTGGTCACTCCAGCAAAAAGTAGAATCTGCATGTAGAACAGGAACGGATTAGTTGCCATGTTGACCGTTGGCCAGCTGACACACCCACATGCGAGATGGCAGTAGTTTGAGTGTTCTATAGATGTACGCACGGACGGACGCATGGACAAACAGACAGACAGAAAGACAGGCTAGCAGACAGACGGATGGATAGACGGACGCGTAAAGAGTGTATGCGCCGCAGGCTATACAAGATGCGAGATGGCGGTACTAGATGGACTCACGGACAGACGCGTGGATGGACAGACTAGCAGATGGACGGATGGATAGACGAACGTGTAAAGCAAGTATGTGCCACGGGATGTAAAGATGCGAGATGGCGGTATTCCGAGTGTTCTCTAGATGGACACACTGACAGACATGTGAACGGACAGACAGACAGAATAGCAGACGGACGGACAGGTACACGGACGCGTAAAGCGGCTATGTGCCACAGGGTATGCGAGATGGCCGTACATTGAGTGTTCTTTAGATGGACGCACAGACGGAAGCATGGACGGACAGACAGAAGGACTAGCAGAACGATGGACCGGCAGACGGACGCGTAAAGCGGCTATGTGCCACAGGGTATGCGAGATGGTGGTACTTACAGTGTTCACTAGATGGACGCACGGACGGATGCATGGACGGACAGACAGAAAGACTAGCAGATGTACGGATAGGTAGATGGACGCGTAAAGCAGCTATGTGCCACAGGGTATGCAAGATGGCGGTAGTTTGAGTGTTCTCGATATGAACGCATGGACGGACAGACAGACAGACTAGCAGACGGACGGACAAGTAGACGGACGCGTAAAGCGGCTATGTGCCACAGGGTATGCGAGATGGCAGTACATTGAGTGTTCTCTAGATGGACGCACGGACGGAAGCATGGACGGACAGACAGAAGGACTAGCAGAACGATGGACCGGCAGACGGACGCGTAAAGCGGCTATGTGCCACAGGGTATGCGAGATGGTGGTACTTACAGTGTTCACTAGATGGACGCACGGACGGATGCATGGACGGACAGACAGAAAGACTAGCAGATGTACGGATAGGTAGATGGACGCGTAAAGCAGCTATGTGCCACAGGGTATGCAAGATGGCGGTAGTTTGAGTGTTCTCGATATGAACGCATGGACGGACAGACAGACAGACTAGCAGACGGACGGACAAGTAGACGGACGCGTAAAGCGGCCATGTGCCACAGGGTATGCGGATGACGGTACTTTGAGTGTTCTCTAGATGAACAGACGGATGGATGCATGGACGGACAGAAAGACCGACAGACTAGCAGCCGGACGGACAGGTAGACGGATGCATAAAGTGCTATGTGCCACAAGGTACGCAAAATGGCGGTACATTGAGTGTTCTCTAGATTGATGCACGGACGGACGCTTGGACGGAAACACAGACAGACAGGTAGAAAGACGGACAGGTAGAAGGACGCGTCAAGTGGCTGTGCCAGAGGGTATGCGAAATGGTGGTACTTTGAGTGTTCTTAGATGGACGCACGAATGGACGCATGGACCGACAGAGACACAAAGACAGACTAGCAGACGGAAGGACGGATAGACGGACGCGTAAAGCATGTAAGCGCCGCTGGCTATAGGAGATGCGAGATGGCAGTACTGAGAGTGTTCACTAGGTTTACACACGGACGGACGCATGGACGAGTAGACAGACAGAGTAGCAGACGGACTGACAGGAAGAAGGACGCTTAAAGCGGCTCTGTGGCACAGGGTATGCGAGATGATGGTACTCAGAGTGTTCAATAGATGGACTCATGGACACACGCATAGACGGACGGGCAGACAGACTAGCAGATGGATGGACGGCTGGACGGACGCATAAAGGCGTTATGTGCCACAAGGCATACGAGATGCGAGATGGTGGTACTGGGAATGTTCGCTAGATGAACGCACGGATGGACGCATGGCCTGACAGACAGATAAAATAGCAGACGGACGGGCCGGTAGGCGGACGCGTAAAGCGGCATTGTGCCACACGGTGTTCGGGATGGGGTTACATTGAGTGTTCTCTAGATGGACACACGGACGGACGCATGGACGGACAGAGAGACAGACTAGCCTATGAACGGATAGGTGGACGGACGCAAAAGCCGGCTATGTGCCACAGGGTATGCAAGATGGCAGTACATTGAGTGTTTTCTAGATGGACGCACAGACGAAAGCATGGACGGACAGACATAAAGACTAGCAGAACGATGGACCTGCAGACGGACGCGTAAAGCGGCTATGTGCGAAAGGGTATGCGAGACGGTGGTACTTACAGTGTTCACTAGATGGACGCACGGACGGACGCATGGACGGACAGACAGACAGACTAGCAGAAGTACGGATAGGTAGATGGACGCGTAAGGCGGCTATGTGCCATAGGGTATGCAAGATGGCGGTAGTTTTGAGTGTTCTCTATATGAACGCATGGAGGGACAGACAGACAGACTAGCAGACGGATGGACAAGAGACGGACGCGTAAAGCGGCCCTGTGCCACAGGGTATGCGGATGACGGTACTTTGAGTGTTCTCTAGATGAAAACGCGGACAAACGCATGGACGGACAGAAAGACCGACAGACTAGCAGCCGGACGGACAGGTGGACGGATGCGTAAAGTTCTATGTGCCACAAGGTACGCAAAATGGCGGTACATTGAGTGTTCTCTAGATTGATGCACGGACGGACACTTGGACGGAAACACAGACAGACAGGTAGACGGACGGACAGGTAGAAGGACGCGTAAAGTGGCTGTGCCACAGGGTATGCGAAATGGTGGTACTTTGAGTGTTCTTAGATGGTCGCACGAATGGACGCATCGACCGACAGACAGACACAAAGACAGACTAGCAGACAGAAGGACGGATAGATGGACGCGTAAAGCGTGTAAGCGCCGCTGGCTATAGGCGATGCGAGATGGCGGTACTGAGAGTGTTCACTAGGTTTACACACGGACGGACGCATGGACGAGAAGACAGACAGAGTCGCAGACGGACTGACATGTAGAACGACGCTTAAAGCGGCTGTGTGGCACAGGGTATGCGAGACGGTGGTACTCAGAGTGTTCAATAGATGGACTCAATGACGCACGCATAGACGGACGGACAGACAGACTAGCAGATGGATGGACGGATAGACGGACGCATGAAGGGGTTATGTGCCACAAGGTATACGTAATGCGAGATGGTGGTACTTGGAGTGTTCACAAAATGAACGCACGGACGGAAGCAGAGACGCACTGACCGACAGACTAGAACACGGAAGGACAGGTGGACGGACGCGTAAAGTGTCTGTGTGCCAAAGGGTATGCGAGATGGCGGTATTTCTTAGTGTTCTTTAGATGGATGCACGGACGGACGCATGGAAGGACAGACAGAAAGACTAGCAGATGGACGGACAGGTAGATGGGTGCGTAAAGTGGCTATGTGCAACATGGTATGCGAGATGGCGGTACATTGAGTGTTCTCTATATGAACGCACGGACGGACGCATGGACGGACAGACAGACGGATTAGCGGACGGACGGACAAGTAGACCGACGCGTAAAGCGGCTATGTGCCGCAGGGTATGCGAGATGACGGTACTTTGTGTGTTCTCTAGATGGACACATGGACGGACGCGTGGACGGACAGAGAGACAGACAGACTAGCAGCTGGACGAACAGGTAGACGGATGCGTAAAGTGCTATGTGCCAAAGGGTCTGCGAGATGGCGGTACTTTGAGTTTTCTCTAGATTGATGCACGGACGGACGCATGGACGGAAACACAGACAGACAGGTAGACGGACGCGTAAAGCGGCTGTGCCACAGGGTATGCGAGATGGAGGTAGTTTGAGTGTTCTCTAGATAGACGCACCGACCGACGCATGGACGGAAAGACAGACAGACTAGCAGACGGACGGATAGGCAGACGGACGCGTAGAGCGGCTATTTGCCAGAGTGTATGCGAGAAGGTGGTACTTAAAGTGTTCACTAGATGGACGCACGGACGGACGCATGAATGGACAGACAGACAGCCTAGCAGACGGACGGACAGGTATACAGACGCGTAATGCGGTTATGTGCCACAGGGTATGTGAGAAGGTGATACTTGGAGCGTTCACTAGATGAACGCAAGGACGGATGCATGGATACACAGACAGACTAGCAGATGGACGGACAGGTCGACGGACGCGTAAAGTGGCTATGTGCCACAGGTTTGGCGAGTTGAGAGATGGCGGTACCGAGAGTGTCCACTAGATGGACTCACGGACGGACGCATGGATAGACAGGCAGACAGGCTAGCAGATGGACGGACGAATAGACGAACGTGTAAAGGAAGTATGTGCCACAGGGTATAAAGATGCGAGATGGCGGTATTCTGAGTGTTCTCTAGGTGGACACGCCGACGGACTTATGGACGGACAGACAGACTAGCAGACGAACGGACAGGTAGACGAACGCGTATGGCGGCAATGGGCCACAGGGTATTCGAGATGGCGGTACGTTGAGAGTTTTCTAGATGGACGCACGGACGGATGCATGGACGGACAGACAGACGGAGTTGCAGACCGATGGACAGGTAGACGGACACGTAAAGCGGCTATGTGCCACAGGGTATGCGAGATGGCGGTACATTGAGTGTTCTCTATATGGACACACGGACGGACGCATGAACGAACAGACAGACAGACAGACAGACCAGCAGACGGACGGACAAGTAGACGGACGCGTAAAGCGGCTGTGTGCTATAGAGTATGCGAGATGGTGGTACTTTGAGTGTTCTCTAAATGGAAGCACGGACGGACGCATGGACGGACAGAAAGACAGACGGCCTAGCCGACTGGTGGACAGGTAGACAGATGCGCGAAGTGCTATGTGCCACAGGGTATGCGAGATGGCGGTACATTGAGTGTTCTCTAGATTGATGCACGGACGGACGCATAGACAAGCAGACAGACAAGAAGATGGATGGACAGGTAGACGGACGTGTAAAGCGGCTATGCGCCACAGGGTATGCGAGATGGCGGTACTTTGAGTGTTCTTTAGATGATCGCGCGGG